ACACCTTACGAAAGGCTTCGAGGCCGGGACTTCCGCGGTGAAGTTGCTGAGTGCTGCGAGGTCGTACACTACAAGCTTGACAAAGAGAAGACTGGCAAGCTGGACAAGCAAACGTCAGTTGGAGTTTGGCTAGGCAAGTCTCTTGCCTCCGACGAGCACTTCCTGGGCACTGCTCAGGGGATCCGTCGGTGCAGAAGCATCTGGCGAAGGCCAGAAGAGAAGAGGTGGGAGCTGAAACACCTCGAGGGGATGGTTGGGCTTCCCTGGCAACCGCGCGGAGAGCCAACCACCGTGCCTTCAGACAACAAGGCCCCAGCGACTCCAGGTCGCAGGCAGCCCTCGGTGTATATCACCTTGGAGCGTCAGATCAAGCACGGCAAGACACCCGGATGTCCTGGCTGTGAGTGTGACGATGACAACCCAAAGCGGCACAACGACGAGTGCCGTAAGAGGTTCGAGAAGTTGTACCCGAGGCAACCGGTGCCAGGAACGCCTGGTACACCAGTCCCTGGGACGCCTGCGGGACCCATGGAGACTGAAGGAGGTCAGGCCGAGATGCCCAGGGCACCGGCCAAGACTTGGAGTCGGGAAGCACCGAGCCGAGTCAGCCTTCAAGGCCAAGGGCCATGGAGGGGACCTCTGAGGCTAAGTCAGGCCAGAAGCGAGAGGTTGAGGATGCGGGTGTTCCCGCTCCTTCACGTGACAGCGGGGAGCGCCGCGTTACTGGAAAGAGCTCACAAGGAGCGAAGAAGCAGAAGACGCCAGAAGCAAGAGGTGAAAAGCGTCCTCTTGAGGACCAGGAGTTGATGGGGGGACTGCCCACGCTCCACGAGAAAGGCGAGTGGGAGCCTTTGTTTGCTTACCCTCTGGACGGCAGAGTGGAGGAGCTTGGTGCCTACGACGAGCGAACAGGCCAGCCCCTTCCTGTTGACAAGGTCAAGACTGCAAGAGGGCGCGAGCTGGACAAGATGGAGGAACACTCTGTCAAGAAGGACATCTCTTGGGAGGAGGCGCGACGGCAGGGGCTAAAGATAGTCCGAAGCCGGTGGGTGGATGGTTGGAAACCATTGCCCAATGATCCGAATGGGGTGCGCAGCCGCTGCGTAGCCCAAGAGATCAACGACCACGAGCGCGACGACGTTTTCAGTGGAACACCGCCGTTGCGGACGCACCGCATGGTACTTTCAGCTGCAGCCACTGCAAAGACTGGCAGGACCAACCGGCGCAAGCTTATTGCCCGGTATGATGTTTCTGTTGCCTTCTTTCATGCGGTGGCCACGGGCAAAATTGCGGTCGTCCCTCCGAAAGATCTCGATCAATCGAAGCTCTGGTACTTGCTCAAAGCCATGAATGGCACACGTGAGGCTTCGCGACAGTGGTCAAAGCGCGTGTGTGAGGTCATGACGGAGGCAGGTTTCTGGGAGGTTCCAGGAATCCCTGGCCTCTTCTACCACGACGAGTGGTGCGTGACCTTGAGCTGCCACGGCGACGACTTTATCGCTGAGGGCGAAAGCGACGATCTGGATCGACTGGATGCGCTGATGATGCAATCCTTTGAGAGCAAGATATTGCCACGGATTGGCCCTGAGGAGTTCGGAGGCCAGACCACGCATGGCGATCATCTGCACCGCATCATTCGATGGAGCGAGCGCGGGTTCACTTGGGAAGCTGATCCTAAGTACTCGCGGCAGATCGTTGAGGAGCTCGGGCTTACGGACGCTAAGAGCGCAGACGCCCCATGTTCTACGGAATGTGGGAAAGGCCGCAGGGATCTCGAAGATCCTTTGGACGCTGAGGCTGCAGCGAAGTTCCGGAGACTCGCTGGTACTGCGCTTTACCTGTCCCAGGATCGCCCGACGATCCAGTATGCCTTGTCGGAGATCACCTCTGGCATGGCAAAGCCTACGGTTGAACACGAGCTCAAGCTCAAGCACCTAGGCCGTTACCTTCTGAAGTACCCGAAGGAAGTTTGGCACTACGAGTACCAGGAGCAGCCTGAGGAAGCTGTGGTGCTTACGGACTCGGACTGGGGAGCGTGCAAGCGCACGCGCAAGTCTATGTCCAGCTACGCTGAGAGATTTGGGAAGCATCTCATCGATGCTTCGTGTGCCAAGCAATCGGTGATAGCGCTCAGCTCTGGAGAGGCTGAGTTTTACGCGTTGGTGCGAGGAGCTGCCGCCGGACTGCTGACAGCGCAGATCTGGGAACGGATTGGGTTTAAGGGTTTGAAGCTTACCCTGAGAACCGATTCGAGCGCAGCGAAGGGAATCGCGACACGCAAGGGCTCGGGCAAGGTGAAGCACTTGTCCATGAAGGAGCTTTGGATACAGGACTGTGTTCAGAGAAAGCAGCTTACGGTGCAGAAGGAACCTACGAAGAGTAACTGGGCCGACTTGGGCACGAAAGCTCTTTCAGGCTCAAGAGTGACAGAGCTAGTCAAGGGCATGCCTCTCACAAAGGGGCTTGGTCATGGCGTGCCTGTTCGCGTCCTTTGGCGTGGCTACGGGGCAGCCGAAGGAGCGCCAGCTCGAGACTGAAGACGTTTCCTTCTTCATCTACATGCTGATCATCCATATCTTGGCGATCCAGACCATTTGGCGATGGATCAAGTTTGCGTTTGTGTGGTGGACCACGCCACGTGTTTCAACGAAGCCGGTCCCTACAGCTGGAGGCCGCGTGGACCGACGAGGTCTAGAGGCGAATGCGGGTAGCCCCGTCTACGTCACCCGTAAGGGCAAGAAGTTTCATAGGAGACACTGTAGACACCTGGGCCAAAACCCGTACACGTTGCAGAGGGCTGAGGCTACGCAAAGAGGCTTTGGTCCTTGTACAGACTGCAACCCGTGAGTAGTGCAGGTCAGCTGTCCAGCTCAAGGATTCAGCTGGCCATGGAGGGGTGTCAGGATATAAAGCATGTTCTGACTACTGCCGTTGTATAGCTGTACTTGGTAGCCCCTTTTGGCACGAGGTGAGTAAAATAAGTAGCCTGTGCCTGCGGTGTGTGTGGTTTGAGGGTTAACCTAAACCCTTGCAAAGCTCCTTTCCAACTCTCGCCCGATTTCTTGTACCAACACCAGGTACAAAATTCATGCTTCCCTTCTCCAAGAGCACCTCGCATCCCGTTTGAATCACCGACTCGTGTGCACCCAATTCGGATTCAGAGCGGAACGTTCTGTAACACGACCTATTCATATCTTGCGCTGCCTTTTGGAAGTGCACGAAAAACAAACAGAGTCCTTTTACGGCATTTATTGGACTGGGCTAAAGCCTTTGATTCTGTTACTGTTACTTTCTCGGCCATACAGGTTTCTCTCGAATGCATGGGAGTTCCTTTTCCTCTTAGACAGGCTATCTCCTCTCTCTATCAAAACCCCACATTTGTGGAAAGGGGCGGTCAGCAAACCTCGATATGTAGTACTCAGACCAGGGGCCTTGGTCAAGGCTGCCCTTTCTCCCCCATTTATTCAGTTTCGTTCTCACTCATCTTTTCGAAGATGTGGAGCAACGGTACACCGCCAATCACGGCATTATCTCTAGAGTCCTTCGTTTGACGCTGTCCTATTGTCCAACTCCTCCTTCCAAGCACAAACTTTTCTTCACTACATACAAAAGGAAGAAGCCCGTGGCTTATATCTTAACTTCGAGAAGTGTGAACATTTACGTCTCAATTCTACTCATCGCGTTATTTTTGATCCCAGATTCTCCTTTCTCCAATTGACGACTTAGCACTGCCTTTGTCAGCTGCAGTGAAATATTTAGGGATATACCTCGATCCCCGCTGTTCTAACCATAAGAACGTTTCGAAGAGAGTCCCACGCGCCATGGAAGTTTCAAAAAACTTTCTCCCCTCATGAAGAATGGTCAAGTCCCTCCGAATTGGAAACTCCTGGTTTACACACTGTAAAGCATCGCTTAGACAAGCGGAACATATTATGCAGTGCATGTACTATTCGTTGGATGAGCAATTTATTCCAGTATGCGACCTTGCTAACATCGTTGACGAGGACTCTATCCAATATGAATGTCTACGCCGTATCTCTAAAATTAAGTCGTTCCACTATCATCGGGTTATCGGCCCCTCTGCTGCTCAATGTTCCAATCAGTATTTGGCTGAGTTGGCTCTTTCCTCTCCGACAGTTATCACCCCTTCCCAGGATGTACTCCTAAAACCGCCTCAATCTCCTTGGACATCCATACACACACACACACACCCCGAATCATTCGAGGCTCAAGCTACTTTTATGCCCTTTGTAAGAGTTGGGAGGCCCACGGCACAATGGGCAGAATCCTGCTTGGTTGAAGCCTCCAAGAGAATAGATATGCTCCAGTCCGATCCGATGCGGCACCCCTCCATCCTTCAACAGATCATGAGTTCTTCTCCATGCCTACTGCTACTCAGACTCGCCAGGAGCATTCCTCGCATTCTCTCGCTTGGATGGATAATACTCACCTTTATCGCCGAGTTTCAACATTTGCCAGGCATAGAACACTTTGGGTATCTGTTCTTCAGATCTTCATAAACCAAGCCGTAAAACCCACAAGTGCTCCTAAAACGGTCGGTGCAGACGGGACCTTTTTGGACCCTGCGCTTGAAACAAAAGCAGGATTCCAAGCAGAAATACTGGCAACCTGACGATGGAGGCCAAGAATCAGCTTCAGATGCAAAACAACAGTTGCATGGCCGCGCTTCGTGTCCACAAAAGGACTCTTCGACAACAGTTCTGCGGGCGACCTCCTCTTCCGAGACCACCTGTTAAAATTTCAGAGGACCTTCGCCCCACCTGGGCTGTGACTAACCTATTTCACGGTTCAGCTTGAAACGGGTTAGGCTCTTTAGGTAGGGGGACCTCAACCCCCGGAAAGGAAGGGGTACTGATATTCCATGTCCTGGTTCCGCGGAAATGTTTCTCCGGGAATCCCGAAACGGAGAACAAAAACATGTCCCGAAGTGCCTGAAGCGCGGCCCCTCCGTCGTTCGTTTGGCGTGGGTTGTCTCTCAGGTTCCCTGCCGGTGGAGAGGCCAAGGCGGCTTCGACGAGTGCCTCGATTGACCTGAAATTCCTGCCTGCGGCGCGTCTGGCTATGAAGCATTCAGCGTCCCCGCTGAGCTTTGCACGTGCTCACACCAACATCAACATGCGCCAGTAGCAGTCCACAGGCACTGGTTTGTTTAAGCGGCTAGTTACTCGGCTAGTTGACTTAGAAACATAGTGCCGTATTCAGCTTGGCGATGTGCATGGTAGTTCAGGCGAGTGATTTCCTGCAGCAGCACAAGAGTGCCCTTCAGCATTTGTGGCTCGTTTATGCGGGTTTGACAGTTAGGTGCAAGATTTGGTGGAAGCTCCTCGATTGCCAGGCCCATGTCCCATGCAGGCATGGACATCACTGTCGACGGAGTCGAACCTCGGTCGAAGTGTAGCAATGTAGCGTTCCTCAGCAGTCGTAGTCTTAGGCCGCATGGGCACTCGACTTCTGGTCAGGATTTGACAGTGACGATTCGGGCGCCGGTTCAAGCTATCAATGCCGAGCTGCGTGCTCGGAGAGTTTCTGTTCGAATTGTGACCTTGATGTGCGATTCTGGGCTCTGGTCTCCTGCAGGCTGCATGTGGTTCGCTTTGGAGGCGATGAGGACATCGTTCCCAGGGCTGCGCAGGCTTGAGTGGCCGCGGGCAGAAGAAGCTTTAGCAGGGATCGTTTTTGCCAGGCTCAGCGGCTGCCGAACTGGAACTTCCTCATTCGAGTCAAGATACCGCTTCCGCCTGATCCCCAAGCTGCATGGATGATCATGGATGAACATGCTGCTCCAAGATGTTTCTAGCAGAGCAGCAGAGCCACGAGGCGTGCCCGGTACCAGCTGCGCATCCAACCGGACTCGCCGGAGGACAAGTAATGTGAAAAGACATGCGTGGCATGACGTGTGCTCACTTCTTGGATGCCTTGCATGTGCTGTCTTCGGCAGGACGGCCCGGGTCTCTGCTACTCCATCACCTTCAACGTTTCTTGACTCAAATGGGCACGACTCCCTTCCGGACTTTGGATCACCTTAGGAAGCCACAAGAGTTCCAGCACTGCTCACATCATTGGATGTGCTTTGGGCAGCACGATGGCCGTGACCTGTAGACTAGAGATCCCGGCAGCCGGGTCGAGCTGGTGCACTGCTGCGTGTCACAGGAGCCACTGGCAATGAAGTTTGGCTATGCTCCAATCACGTCAGCTGGGCAGGACTCGTGCCAAGAGTAGAGTTGCCCTTCGTCCGGAGTATCGCTGGGAGGTTCACGGAGTAGTCCTGTTGAGCCCGCTGATGCAAGGGCCTTGATGAAGCCGCTTTGCAGATGCCATCACATGCCTCACGTGGTTGGAGTCGTTTCAGAATTGTGAGGTTTAGAATACCTGCCGGGACAGCATACTTTCTCATCTGGGTCAACAAGGCCCGGAGCTTTGGCATCCTGAAGCAACGGAGCATGCCGGCACCGGCAAAGCGTCCATGAGAAGCGTAGTGTGCATACTCCTCCTGCCTGTTTTGCAGTATCTCGGAGCGTATAGTAATGCCAACTGGTCCAGGAGAAGCTGCATTTTTGCTGACTCAAGGAGAGCAGTAGCTAGAATGGGTCAAACAGTCAACCTGGATGTCACCCGATCAGACCGCCAACTCCGAAGAAGCTCTCCGATCCCCTGGTTTCCGTAGATCCCGTCCGATTGCACCTGAAAACCCGCAGGCAGTCAACTAATTACAGGGTCGTTGTCTGATGTTTGTCAGCTGGCTCGTCGTCGTGATGCCTGTCCTTTCGAGCGTTCTGCGCTGGCATGCGCTGGCCCTTGCATCCTTTGCCACCACTCCCTGACCCACAGTCTCAGTGCGGGGGAGCGCGTCGTCTTGGAAGCGTTGCGCCAGGCCGTCGCCTTGGAAGCCGAGGAGCGTCGGAGCGTGGCAACGTCGCGGGTGTGGGCTCTCTTCATGCTCTGCGGCTCTGCTCTACAGATTGCAGTGTGGTTTCCTCCTTGTCCTCTGCTTTCCGAGCGTGCCAGGAGCCCGAGAAGTCCACGGGTCCACTCCTGAGACGATGTGGCGATTCGACGTTCAGTCCTGTTCCTGTTGCGTTTTTTCGCGCATCTTTCACGTTGCAGCAGCCGCTTCGCATGACAGCAGCCAGCATCTTCTTTGCTTGACGGGTACCTCCAGCCAAGTAGGAGCCAGAGTAATGCTGCTTAGCAAGTTGCGAGGGCAGCTACAGCGACAGATGTGATCTCAAACCTGGTTATCTGCATGTAAGGCATGCTTCAACTTGCCGGCTGTTGCAGCTGTTGTTGCGTGTGTATCTTCGCGCCTTCGATTCGGGGAATGTCTTGATGCAGAAGCAAGCGATGCTGGTGCTGGTTGCGTGTTGATGATAGTGGAGGCCTCACCACTCTTTTCGCCTCGCGTTTGGGAGCTTCGCCTCCTGAAAGCGTCCGGAGCAAAGTGGAAGCTTGTCAAGGAAAAGCGACGCTGCCTTCACTGCCTTCGGCCTTCAATACCAGGTTCAACTTCCAGCCATGATGTCGAAAAGCCTGGGGAAGTTTGCGGCTTAGATCGGTTCAACCAACAGATCTTCCAAGTGTCTCTTATGCCGCTCCATGAGGTCAACAAAAGATCGCAGGTCTGCTCTGCAAACGCTTCAAGCTCAACTCAGCGGTCAATTTGGCCCTTACGTCCAGGACTTTTGTCTTAACCTGGTGCTGGCGTTGCTGCAAGATGTATGTGAGCTGAAGGACTCATCGGGAGATGTCCACTTAGATCTTTCCTTCAAGGATGGCAAGTGCAGCATCCTCGAATTCTTTCGTTTGCGAGGTCGTTTGCGATCAGTCTATGAGTCTTCCGGCATTGGCGCTGTTCTTGTGACACTTCCAGCTGACTTCCAGCTGTGACCCAGTGACCTGAAGCTTTCTTGGGGGTTGCAGTAGAATCGATGAAAAGGGCATGGCATCATGCTACGGAATCCCAGAATTCCGTTGTAGCTCTTTGGTTGCTGGTCGAGAGGTGTAGGGCTGCAAAAAGCTATGCTATGGTTTGGGAACCAGCGATGTCCAAGCGTGATGCTAAACCTCCCACTTCACGACTGACCGGTGCAGAAAGCATCAACGAGGGACGAGTGAGGCGAGCTCTATGAAGGCTCTATGTTGGAAGTGGAAGGCTTGGAGTCTGGGACTCTTCTGCGATGTCGTCAGCAAGGCCTAGGGCTGTGGGGTGCCGTCAGCGCGACTGCGAGGCGTCATCCCCTGAGCTGCCGAGGTCCTAAGACCTTCGCCGTTCGCCCAAAGTGTTCCGAGCGAGACAATATGCCTCCTTTAAAGGAGCTTTGAACCGGCCCTTACCATCTTCTAGATTGCTGCTGCGAGGGTTGGTTGGTATGTTAACTGGGAAGGTGTGCTGCACAAGCGACGTGATTGCGAACTCAGCACGCCGGCTTATTCCAATCGCAACTGCTTGTTTTGCTTGCCCCACGATATCGCAGCAGGAAATTACGGAAAAGTGTTTTGCCCTGGCGCTACTTTCATCGTTTAACACCCGATCGGAGTCGATGAGGGAGGCGACCACAGCGAGAAGAAATGCGAGCTGACAACAGAGGGTCTACACGGGCGCTGCAGTGGGAACTCTGGGAGAGAGCAGATGCAGAGGAGAGGATTGTCACGGATTCGCAGCAGCCCGAAGCCCAGGTGTACGGCGATTGCATGAACGTCATTTGCTCGGCTTGCTGCCAGTGGCTGCCATGCTGTGCAGTGCTAGGTTTTTGTGGCCGTGGCCCCTTGAGCCCTTGAGGTACTGACATGCCGGGTTTGTTTGAAGGCTTCCTCACTTTCGGGCAGGCAGCTTGCGGCGTGGACTCGCTTTCGGCACATACTCAGACTCGTCTTTTTCTCATTTGTGCATGGCAACGTGGACTTGCCGCCACATGCTTTTTGCTGTACCACTTTGTTTAATAACGCACGGTGTTATATGGGGTTAAATGCACAGTGACATCTTTGACAGCTGACTGCCAGTTGCCAGTTGTGTAGGAGCAACTTGAAATTGACACTGATTGCCTATGTTATCGGTGGCAGTGGCTGCTGAATGGCAAAGGGAGATTGCGAATTTCAGGGCAATGGAGATTTTTATCTTCCAACCTTAGGCTCCTTTCTGCAATAGCCGTGCAAACGACTGCCACATGGCGACTGCTGCCGTATGTCAGGGCCACATCACGAAAGCTGGGGGTGCCGCCCGCCCCCCTCACCTCGTTCATGAAGCATCTTCGAAGGATAACGTGCCGTGCGCCAGCCCCCTCCCTCCCCTCCTCCTTGAAGGTTGCGGCGCATGGGATAAGGTAGAGGGGGGGGGCCCTCCTCCCTACCCTCAAGTCTCTCCCCCTCCCCCCCCCCCCTCGCAAGGTCCCTCAGTTTGCTTAGTCACCCCGTCTTCCCAGCTACGCTTCCTTTCCCCTAGCTTTCGTAGCCCTCTTCTCAAGTTATCAATTGGCCACACAAGACAGAAGGACCAACATCCTAGCTGTGGAGTTGCAACTATAGTGTCCTTTCTTGGCAATCTTAAACAAGACTTGCTTCATGCTACCAACTAGTTTGGGTTTTATGGCCGTACTCTTGCATGACGGAAGGAATAGGTGAACGTACGGTGAACAACTGTGTCTGCGCAGGCGGGCTAGGAATACTATGCGGAAAATCGAACTCATGACTTCTTACAGGTAAAGAGAACCAGTGCAGGAAGAAGTAAGATCCCAAAGGAAAATACGCGATAACGTAAGCTTCCTGTGCTTGTGGGGCTTCTTCGTGGCCCTAGGAAATGCGATGTATGCTGTTCGATCTTGTGATCTGCAAGAGTTTAGAACCGAATTGTTCATGATGTAACAAATCCGGTTTTGACTGGCGTAAAGCTTCCACTGCATCAAGCCACTGCAATTGCTGTCATGCGAAACGCATAGGTGGATGCGCAATCGAAAGTAAAGCTCTTCTTGCGTTTACCAGGCCCGGCGAGAGTCCCCTCTGTTGCGCACTAACAAAAGCTCTCTCTTGAGGCAAGGATGCGCGCGGGTACAAGCCGCGGCTGCTGTGCGAGTGGCTCATCTGTCGGGTCGCTCAGCTTCCGCCTATTCGCAGCCTGTGCTAGAGCATGATTAGATCCGGCCTGAGAGGTCGTGCGCACGGTGAGCCCTTGCCCAAAGGGTTTACGTAGGTGTCAGAGGCCACGGCGCTACTAGGCCGTGGCTCAGACGAAGCCCTAAGGACGGGCCGGGTGACCCACCCGTTTTCAGGTGACTGCGGGCAAAACGCTAGCGGCGAGAAGTGCTTGACAACATGTCGGCATTTAACCCCAAAGGGGAACTCTGTCCAGGCAAGTGTGGAGGGGTGCAGCGATCTGATTTTGATCGTGAGCCGTCAGTCTGCACTTGCGATAGTAGATTCGATGAAAGCTTAAATGGGAAAGCTTCGGTTGATGGATGTGTGAATGTGGTCATTCTGAGAGGTTCATACACCCGCAAAGGTAAGATCTAGCACTTGCAAGCTTTGGTCTCGACTGATGTCAATGTTTGTTTGTTTCTCTCTGCTGCAGCGCCTCGTATTATTCATGTGCAGAGAGTGGGGTGTGAGCTACTGCCGTCAACTCCATGTGGCATCGCTGTCCTCTGCAGGGCAGGGCCCCGTCTCAAGCAGGCCGTTCAGTTTCACGCCAGACTCAGAGTGAGCCATGAACGCATACAATTAGGCGGAGAGTTTGAGACGGTTTTCATTAACCAAAGTTGAAAGGCCCAGTTTTGCAATCGGTAAACGCCGTCTTCAAATGTCTCGACATCCAGCTGCCAGAACGAGGCTTCTGCGTCAGTTGCTCAGGTGTCCGGCCGGAAAGTACGATTCTGAGGAAGAGCAGCAACATCGGCACACGAGGCGCTTAGACCACATTGGAGTCTTCCTTCTCCTCGCACTCTATGCAGTCATACTGAATGCGCTCGCATTTGGAGCAGAGCTGCCAGTTCTGAAACCCCCGCGACTTGTCGTCGCTGCTCAGCTGGCAGTTGGACTACTTGCTGTGTTCAATCTCTATGTTGAAATCTATTCGTTGCCACGTGGCACTAAAGAAGCCGAAGATGATTTCCTGGTAACATATGGCCCTTTTGGCAGATGGGTTTACCTCACTCATCAGACGATCGGAGCTTTGGCTGTCCATGCTCTTGCTTCGGCAGTGTTGCCTTTTGTCAGCAGACGTTTGGCCTACGGCAACTACCGCTTGAGTCCCGTTATTGGCGCCTGCGGGGTCTTTGTGACGATACAATATTTCAACCTCGTGAAGAGGCACCCGGACCACGAGAAAACGTGCCAGCTTTGGGCTGCTCGCGGCGTGCGCTTCGGGCTTTTGGACGCTTTGCGTCACGTCCTGCCCATTGTCGTCAGCGTCCTAGACATCCTCTTCAAGAGCCGAGACGCACTCCTTGAGGCCATGCCGTCTGCTTTGGGCCTTGTCCGCCTTCATCTTCTTTATGTCGTTGTCTTCCTGATTGGCATACACGTGAACCACCGTTTGACCGGTCGTTGGCCGTACGGCTTCATGAAGGATCTTGGCTTGAGTCCATCCCGGTGGCTTATGTTCTTGATGGTGCAAGGATCTATTTTGTCCGCGTGCGGCCTGGCATTGACTGGGCTTGCAACTCTATCTCTAGGGTGAGCTGGTTGTCTACGCTGGCTCAGTGTCCAGGTCTACAAGGTCTGTCCGCTCAGAGTCACCTGTACAAACAACATTTTTAAGTCTGACGGGCCCGAGAATGTGACCAGCAGGCGACCAACAAAGAACCCTCTATGCTTGTCAAGCTTTCGTGGCGCATGATCGAGGAGGTGCACAGTACATTGTGCATACAAGATGTAGTCAATGCCGTAGGCAAGTCATGTCTTGGCAGTGTTTGTCCACTCACACTCGCCGGTTTGCAGTTCACAGTCTGGAACAGGAGCATCTTCTTGTCAGCATTTTCTTGTCACGCCTCCAGCAGTTTGTCGCTCGTGTCGACATCTCTGGGCCACGGCCTGCTGCAGCATATGACAGACAGTGCAAGAGGTGAGAGGATTGTTGGCATAGGCTCAGCTGGAATCGTAAGGTCCGTAGGTAGATGACAGGCCTGTTTCGCACAGTCCCGAAGCTGGTCATTCCCTTGTAGTACTCGAGTACTCGAGCTGTTCCAGAGCTCCTGGGCTGAGTCACGATGCCGCCAAAGCGCATCGTCAAACGATGGGAAAGTGAGGCCTCCTGACTTCACCTTGCGTTCGCTTCGCTTCCGAGATTCCGAGACTGAGACTGAAGGCGACGCGCCGTCGCCGTGCTGCCTTAGCAAAGTACCGGCAGGCCCCGGCTTTATGTCTCTGACAAATGCGACGTGTGGGCTTGTCAGGGCCTGAACGGCAAATGGGAGTCGAATGCCAAGAAGGCACACCCTGGGCGACTTCTAAGCGGTTTTCGCAGCTGCAAGTGTGCTTCGTAGCCTGCAGATAATTTTGCTTTTTTAGTGCTTGCCTTTGTCCTGCAATGTTTAGGCACTGGCAAGAAAAGTTAAGCAGAAAAGCCTTCGTATTGGCGATGTCCTGAAGTGATGTCAGCTCGTTTATGGATGTGCTGAATGTGGCAGAAATGAGGTCCATTGCTTGCACGCAGCAAGGCTCTGGCGAGAAGTGAAGCGTCTTGCATCCTTTCTCGTGAGACCCCTCGGCATGTCGCCAGCTGTCAAGGCTGTGCAAGATGCCTCCGCAGCGAGGAACCTGGCAAAGGCCCAGAAACTGGTCGAGGCCAATTTGGCCAGATTGTCGCGAGCAGTCTTTCGGCCGTTTCTGTACAAATTGGCAGGTGCTCCAAGAAGCAGACCAGGAATGCCGTGGTTGTAGATGGCTCATGTGGGATATCGGTGAACGTATGCCTGGGGGTCCGTAACATGATAATTAATCAACAGCAGCCCTCCTGCACATGATTCCCATGTAATCTGCTTCCCTGCGTTTCTTCCTGTCCTATTTCCACCAAAAAAGTACCGAATTTTGTGCCGAGGCAAGATCGTTCGAAACCACGGTAGCAATGGTGCTGTCTTTATGCAAGATGTGTCATCACGGCATAGTGTCGAAGAGGGTGGTACCGGGTCATGATCATGGTGACGTCAGCAAAGAAGGAGCGATCATATGTACTGTGAAGAGTCGGATGAGAATTTCTCTAGACTTGCAGAAAGAGAAGGTCAGAGACTGAGAAAGAGAGAGATCTTCTCCGGAAATGTTATCGTACACTTTACGGCCATAGCCTTCCAGAAGATTTATGTTCGTTTCTCACTCCCCTCGTGCCGAAACACATCCGTCCTAAAAACACTTCGGGTGGGCAAGCTGCCTGGGGACTTTGACCGACCCTCATGCCCGGGAGAGAGAGCGTGCGAGAGAGAGAGAGAGAGAGAGAGGCCTCCACTTGCATCGTACTGATCCTGTGATTCCTGCACTGCTTCGCACTTAGTCGTTGTGTTGCTTATCGTGGGGGATTAATTACAAACCACTGTTTCTACTGGGGGAAGTGCACCTGTCGAGGGACTTAGGATTTGCCTTAGAGGGCGCGGCGATGAGGCCGGGACGCGCGAGATAAAGTTCAGGGTTGGGGGTTTTTCCGACAGACGCACTCTACCAGCTGTACCTACCAAGGGACGCAAACCCGTCCGCCGACGACCCCACAGCCTCTTCCACCGTCATGTCGGGGAAGGGGGGGCCTTGGCCCGGGTCTGCTTGCAGACTCTGCCCCTGAGAAGCGAAGCGAAGCGAAGAGAGAGAGAGAGCCAGAGCCATTTTGTACAGGGCCACAAGTCCTTCATCAATAGCCGCATTTAAGCTCAAGTCATCTGCCACGCCCTCCGCGCGGGGGTGCGCCCAGGAGTGGCTCTTTCGATCTACAGAGTTTGGTCTCTCCAGTCTGGGGGGAACCTGAGCGGGCGTCCACCGCGCACCAGCTAAGCCATTCCCTGACCTTGGCCCATCTTGGCCCCTTGCTTCGGCAGGGGTGGCCCAACAGTAAGGGAAGGCAACATACCACCACGTGGGGGAACAAAGACGCGGACCCACCGAACAATGAATCACATCCTTCCAGACGAGTACCCTGCAATCCTGACTCCTCTCCGAAGAGACTGGGAGGCACCGGCGAAGGCATGACGGCAGGGACAGGAAGACTGAGACCCCCGCAGAGGACCCAGTGACGAGACCCCAGCTCGAGGGGCAAGCCGTGGGCGTGACCCTCCAAGCCAAAGGCAAAGGAGGAAAGCACTACGGGCACGGCAGGTTGGCGGCCGACGACTGCATTCTACATGGCAGCACAGATCAGGGGAGGCTGCCAGGAAACAGGACGACAAGGACGTCCACTACGCTCGCGGGAGAAAGGAATGAGTTTTGCAAGGTCGGGGCACCCATGACCAAGAAGCTCGCCGGGGCACTGACCTGCAACATCCTACACCACGAGGCACAACCCTGGCTACGACCTCCAAGTCCAAAGCCACACCCGCGCAGGCTGCGTGGGTCGGAGAAAGCCGCCTTCTACCTCCTTGTCGACCTCCTCTACCAGAGACAAGGAGCAAAGTTAAGAGGAAGAGGGCAAGAGAACTGAACCAAGAGGAAATACCAAAGCTCGCCCACACGAATAGGGGAAATCCCCAGATCCGCGAACCAACCAAACAGAGTCCTCAAAACCGGCCGTCCAGAAGTTCTTTCAGTGCGGTACTAACAATCATAGTTCAACCTTTACGGGGGCCACTCCTTCAACTTCGTCACAGCAAAATGATGAGCATGCAGCATGCATAAGACTCACGGGGCCGTTTATTCAAGCATGTCTATGCCCGCTGTACCAAAAGGTGGGGTTGCTCCCTGGAGCGGGTGAGAGAGAGAGGAAAGAGAGAGAGAGAGAGAGAGAGAGAACGAGAATGCGTTTTATTCCTTTGTTATTGCAACAAACCCAGAGAAAGCACATTCGAGCCGGTCTCCACGAATAACCCAGAGGCGATTCACGTGCTAACAGCATACTTTTTTCTCCTACCCCGCTCCTCTGCCCGCCAAGCTGCGAGTTATCCTGGTAAAACCTTAGTTTTCCAAACACTCGAGGGCTTGAGCTGCAGGTTGCCCGTGGTAGAGGGTTACGCATGTACAGAACCACTGCGCATCCCCAGCCCTTGTTGGCTTGGAACAAGAGGGACCTGTGTTGAGCGCCGTAAATGCTCACTTAAAACCCCAACCCAGTGTTAGCCTTCGCGCTGAGCACAGGGCCAGCAACTCCGAGCGCAGCCCCGCAGGTCTGGTGTTACCGTGTTGCCTGTGGCCGGCTGCAAGCAGCACCACCCCTAACGTGCGATTCGGAGGCCACCGGGGGCTTGAAAACCCGAAAACCAAGCACTAGGCCTAGTGCGGGGAGTCGGGAGTCCAGCCAAGGAGAGTGAGAGTCAGAGTGAACCAGACAATGAGTTGATTTCCTGAATCCTGTGTCAGTTCGGCCGGAGCTTCAACATAACATCCAGTGCGTTCGTGGCTCGGCTGGTGTCAAACAGCAGCGGCACTGTTGACCTGTGTAGGGCCTAGGGGAGAGAGAGATGAGGCGCGAGGCGGGGCCAGGGCGGATGCGTGCACGGGAGTGATGCGTGTGCACTGCTCTTTGGGTGGGTGGAAGAGTGAGAGTGGGAGCCCAAACCGAGTCAAGTCAATGCCGAGGCAGTCGGTTGTTTGTGCACACAAAAATGGATGAAAGGGATGCATCAAACCTTGGAGCATGCAGAGCTTCCGTTTTCCTCATGATCCTGCTGTTTCGAATAACCTGGCAGGAGGTGCTTCCGCAGTTGCTGCAGCAGCTAGAGTCGCTCCCAGTGACGGCTGCTCTTCTGAGAAGGACATGGGCAGGTTTGAGTCTCCTGGCTGGAGGCTGGAGGCTCGCCGAGTCGCGTCACAGCCAAAGACAGGACCCGGATTCCAAAATTTCTGCGCGAGACGTCATGCTCTCAGCGAAGTTCTCCGTCGTCCCATTACAATCGAGAGATGTGGAAGGGCATGCAAGTTCCCCGGCATCAAGAGCAAGGCGCAAAGCCATCAGATGCTCCACGCACTTCGCATCGCAGTGATACAGGTGAAACCCATCATACAGAAGTGGCACAAGATCTACGTGGAGGAGCTTGATATCCGCAACAAGTGCCGGTACTGCCTTGGTACTCCATCCGCGCGTGATGCTGCCTGCCCTAAGCCGCGGCTCGTCCCTGTATGTAGTGTCCGCCGCTTGCGCCGACGGCATGTCTATATCTGCTTCTGTCAATCTGCCCGGTGCTGCGGTAATCCTGCTTGATGTTTCTGCACGCAGGAAAGAGCAAAGCAGATTGGGCAGAAGAAGGCCAGAAATGCCATGTGCTCTCACCAGCGGCGGGACTCGCCAGCGTGGAAACCGTTGTGTGACCAGGAGGCCGTCAAGAGGAGCAGGAAAGGGACGCAGGGGCCTTGCTGATGCAGTAGAAGAGATTATCTCCGCATGGTCACATGACTTCTGGAGCTTTTCGAGGCCAGCGACGAGCCAGCAAGCTTCCCAAATCCGCTGCCCAAGCTGCCCCTTTTCTCAAGATCTGTCCCAGGTCACGGCCCGGTTTGCCACTGGAGCCACAGCCCTCGGAGCCTACGGGGCCTGCAGATGACTAAGTCTGAGTCAGCACGATGAAGATATCTACAAGCTTATTCCCCCGCCAAGGTTAATCTTAAGAGCGATCGGGAAGCACAGGTCTGTTAAGCAGACATAGAGCACAGGAAGTCCCTTGCAAGCCTGTTGAAGGCTTGAACCGTTTTCAGCTTGATGCACGTTGCAAGTTTGCACATGCTCCAATTGGAACCGTACGTGCACTGAGCGTCCGTGGGCAACATAATTAGAGGATGAAAGCACCGTGACGCGGCTTGGGATCAAGACGGCACGCACGATGCTCCTCATGCCCATCGAAAACCGAGCTCCCCGTCTCCTCCGTCGAGAGCCGGAGCCAGCTAGATGCGAAATCACGCAAGCTCCTCGTGAAGGAGCTTCGTTCATTAATTACCTGGGGTTCTCAGGCGGGGGGGGGGTGGTGGGCCCGAATTGGTGTTCTTTTTCGGCTATCCCCCATCTGGAGCTGGGCAAAAGCCTGTTGCTGTTTTGGGCCAGATGTCGGTCCTCTTGGGTAAGTGGGAAAACAGGTCTCCTTTGATGCTGCTGATGCTGGCCTGGGCGTGTTGGCTGATGCTGCTGATGCTGGTCGTATCGTGGCCACGTTGTGCGTGTGTCTCTAGCATTCTTAAACCTTATGTAAACCCTAAACCATAAAACCGAAATTTTCTTTTGTCTTTATTCGTGTGAGCTCCGTGTCGCCAGCCCTGCCCCTGCTAGAGCTTCCGTCCCAGCCCGTGGCTCTCAAGTTCATTGGGAAGAGTCATCTTGTTGTGCTGAAATCGACACACCAGAGCATGGGAGTCATGCTCTTATTGAAATTAACACGTATGGAAACACGTCCGATACATCTGACGTCAAGAATGATTTAGATGGCATGTGCTCGGTCTCCTTGCGAATGGAATTCGTCCTGGGTCCGATGGAAGTACAGGCCTTCGGTTGGCGTAGGGAGAAAGCATCGAATCCACCGGTTTTGAACCTTGACCAGAGCAGAATCTATTCGTCTTCTGCCAAACATACCAAGGTGCACAGATCACCCGCCAGGCTGCAGAAGGCTCCAATGAGACAGCGCCGTATCACTTTCTTTATGCACAGCTGAGGCAGCTAGAAGTAGGATGCAGTGGCACTGAGTGCCTTCAAATTCAATCTCGGGGTTTCCAATTGAGAAACGGGGATGGGATAGCCGTGACCAGACCGGGAGAAGCAGCGGTCAAAAAGCAGGTGCTAAAGTTGCTAAAGAAGCGCATTCACGAGTAGATGCCAATTGCTCGGTCCTTGTGCATTGTGCTTGCTTCTTAGCTTTCCGCTCAAGCCCGACCAGGCAGAGTCATTCTAGGGCCATCGCATTAGCTATACGTGGTCATCTTGCAACGCGATAGTGTGCATAGCCAAGCTGAGTTGTCGGAATCTATCGGCAATCGCGGCATCTTGAGCATGCCCCATAGATGTGTCTGTTGCTGAGCCTGCCACGGTTAAAGACACTGCTTCCTGTCTCACCTTTTTGATCTGAGGCTTTGGCTGGTGTCTTCCATGGCATGGAACATCCAGGACGGGACTCCTTCAACTTTCCGGGTGCTGATACGGCAGATACTCGAACCATCGTGAACCCTGGCAGGTCCCAGCCTCAATCAGGCATCTCCGTGTCCGGCTCATGGAACGCAAGCTCATGTTGCACCACTGCGACAGGCACTCCGAGCGCCCAGACTACGAGAAGAGTCGTCTTCTTGGCTCTGTCGCTCTCACTCGCCACAACTGCGCACTCGCCATAGCCAGGTTGCAGACAGCACAAGCTCTCTGCCTAGATCTGGACGACTTCCGTCAGACACGCTTGCTTGTTTTATCAGACTTCGGTCATGTGAGAAGTGATGCGCATGGCTTGCTCCTCTTACGTCGTGACAGGCTGCAGCCCGCATGGGTTAAGGGGCGCATGGAAGAGTCCCGTCAGGAGGCCAGCGTCCACCGCGAGCGACGATATTGAAGTGAAGAGCCATGCCTTAGGATGCTGAGAAGCGTTCGCTAATAGCCACGGCCATCTTCCTGGGCACAGCGCAGGCAGGAGGGGTCCAAAGATCTCATGTCAAAGGCGCAAGAGACACACAAAGAAAGACAAAGGACACCATTGGGATTAGTTTATGTGGTTTAATTAAGCAAAACACGCACTGCATTTCATATCATTTGTTTTTGCTGAATTAAAACACACCACTTAATTCCAATGAAGAGAATTGCCAGGCTTAATAGTTACCATTAGGATTTAGTTGTCCAGGTACAGGAGGAAACACTAAGGATTGGAATCATACTAGAAAATAGGTCAATCTTGGGTGTTTGTAACGGAATAAAAGGAAGTACGAAACAACCAAACAAAGAAAAGAGAAACCACACCAGCGAAACAAAGCCGCATTTCCCTTCTCTTCTTTCTCTTTCGCTAAATTCACGCTTCTCTTCGTTACATTGTAATTTAGCGAAAGAAGAAAGAGAGAATGGAATGAGCCGTGCCATCGGTGCAGAGCATCCATTCCACCGGACCTCTACCGCCAGGCGTTGAGGCCCAGGTGGACAGAGATGCTTACCACTTCTCTTTCCCGCCCTGAGGTAGGTGGCCGTACTCTGAGGGCTTTTCAGCTACTCAAGAATTTCTCGTTGATCAGCGTGATTCCGCCCCACTGCCGTGGCCCGTTCAGATTTCTACTATGAAGACTCTCCTTGTGTATATCCTTCAATCGTACAAGGGCTGGCATTTGTGTGGGCTTCGGAAGCAGGTAGTGAAGCAGAGAACACTGTTGTCGGAGAGCGCGTCATTCTGCAGGCATGGGAAACCGTCCAAGATCGGGTGGCCAGGTAGCAGGGGTGCAGCATGCAACTTGACTGTGAAGGCTATGGAGATATAGCTATATCACAGTGTTTCTGGCAAATGTGGCTTCGCAGAGAACCTGCTCTGCCTGGGTCCTTTCCATCGCAGTAGAAGGGGGACAAGGGAAGAATGATGACTCTGAGGGCATGCCGTGAAAGAGTCCTTGAATTGGGCTGGGGGTCCGTGCAAACTCGCTCGCTCCGACCCTAGACGGACCCGTCGACGGATTCAAAACAGGGTTACCAGGGGGAAGACTTTCGAAGGGGAGAATGCCTCTTGGTCTTACTTACATGCGCTTCCCCAGTTTCCGACTTGTGGCTGGAGCTCAGAGCTGCTGCGTACGAGGCACTTAGAGCTGGGGAATAGCTGGGACACATAAGCATCGTGGCGCTGAATAGGTGCGACCCATCAATACCATGTCATATGCTGCTTCTGTGCTATCGTCCCAGCCTCGGTAAAACGAGTGTGTCAGGCGTGCCTGAAGGGCTGCTACATCTCAGAGTCTGCCCAGAAGGCCATTGCAATACCAAGAGCCTCAAAACAGCATCCACCGTAAGCATATTTGCTTACTTTGAGCATCCTTGTCCGTTTCTGGCAGGTGGAGTGTGGACATCTGGTGAGACCAATATCCTGCGTGCATCCTCCAACGAGCATGCCCTCTGCCAGCTTGCTAAAGGTGCTCTTCAGCTTGTGCGGTGGTGCTGTCTGAATCGTTGCTGCTTCCCCTCATACCTACCCGCATCTACCCGCCGTAGGGCTGCCGTACAACGCCACAAGCAGATAACCGGGTGCTCCAGGAAAGTGAGGGCACAGTCAGAGACTGAACTCCTGAGGCTGCATGGACTCTCCCCCAAAAAAACCTCATGTCGAAAAGCGTTCTCTGCGCGGCCGTGTGTCGGACTTCCCAAATCGGGTCATCAGGGGTAAGCAACAGGAGAGAGCTGCATGAAGCGGCCCTGGGTAGTTTGACAGCAATGTGTCAAATTTGTTGGATCAAGGTTCAGTACTCTTTCATCATACTCAGCCTGGCAGCTCCAACAATTTTGGAGGCATCGGGCCAGACGCAGCAGATCTCCGGTGCTCGTTGTCCGCATCCTGGACTCTGCAGATGATGGAAGTTTTGATGAGGGCTTCTTTTTGGCAGGCTGTGACCCGCTGGATGTGGCCTTGCAGCTTGCAAAATTGCCGCACTGCCGGCGGGTAGCAGTCTTGAGGCTCTTTGTCCAAGTCTTCTGGCGGAACTGAAGCGAGTTCTGGGATTTCTGCTGCGGCTTCGTCTGACAGATGCACGCCGTTCGAAGCCCCTCGCAGCCTTCAGCGGAAGTACAGTCACATTTACGAGGACACCGTTGATTTTCATCGGGGTGTGTCAACATTCGCAACATGCTGCTTGAGCATCTGAGGACCAAGTCTTCTTGCGAACAACCTACTTTGAGGCTTTCGAGCGTTTGTCGCGAGATCTTCCCCTTCAGCCAGATCAAGCGATCAAGGAGGCCAAGCGGCCAAGCGGCAAAGCCAGCCAAAGATCTGTGTGTTGCGGGCATTGAGACATGTGGGCAGGGCTGCATCGTGTACACCTCGGGAGTTGGCGTTCTGCGTGGTCCATTGAAGGATGGGGTGCCGAAGCCTCGGACAACGCACGCCGTGAGACTCCGAGACCCGGCCGAGCGAGGCCGTGGCTGGAGCATCCTCCCCAGGTGGATGTAGCTTGGTGCGCGCCCGCTCGCCGCGCAGCTGTGCCCTCCTGTGCCGTGCGGTGCTGCGCTTTGCTTTCGCCAGGTTTGGCTTACCCGCCCACCCTGAGATCGGCGAACAGGAAACCTCGTTCTTGCCTCCGTGGAGCTGCTGAGTGGTGAGTCGAAAGGCGATATATTACGCCCTTGTTAGGCGCAGCTGCAAAAGCAACAACAGCATTGATGACAGAGTAGCAGAGAAGCGGAAATTTGGAACAGTTCCAATGTTGTGAAAATGGGACGGATAGATAGATAGACTACAAAGACGTGAACTGAAAACAAGAGGAACAAGAGAAACAGAAAGCAGTTGAAGTTAGACTAGCAGCAGCACGACTAACAAGCTCCCAGACCATTTCGACTGTGAGTTGCTAACAAGACTTTGCACAACGATGATTGTGGCTACGACGAGCAGTCAAAAGCAATCAGGGTAACCACAACAGCAATGGGCACAAGAACAGTGAAGCAGCAATGCCACGAGCAATAGTCGCAACAGTAGCATGCGTCCATATCTTGGCAACAAGACAAGGATTTTGGAGGCCCGCTGTGGCAGACATCATTGACAGGTGAGTCCCACGTCAATGTGAGGTGAGTTCAAGGTGTGTTTAGTGGACGGCCAGGAGACTTATGCGCGAGAAGAGTCGGACACTTGAACAAATTTCAGCACACTCAGCACATTTCCCGATGTTCAGATCCGCCAGGGATCGCAAACTGGTAAAAGCTGCTTTGGATCGGGCATTTTCATGGGCTTGTGCCCATGGCGCTGATGCCATAGTGATGCGGGGATCCCGGGTCACGTGCGACCTGTGGCCCTGGTGGGTTTCTGTCAGAGGCCGGCAATGAGCGGCTTGGGCAGCTTCCGACACCCGAGGCGAGATTCCTGAGAGGCATGGGAGCATATGTTGAACTAATTGGCCTGTGAGAACGAGGCTGCACTTTGGGGGGCTGGTGCATGAGGTGCAGCGTCTGGAGCACGTAGGGGATTTCGTCTGCTCCATGTTGAAGCTGCAGCGTAGGTTGCTCGCATGCACCAGCGCCACCTCCCCATCGTGTGCGTGGCTTCCGATGCTCCGGCTCATCGAGGGGTGCGCCGAAAGCGAATCTTTGATGTGCGCAGTTGGCTTCGATCATCGAGCATTGCTGTGAGCTCAAGAGATGCGGTGGAGGAGGAATGGTGGGCGCCCTTCGAGGAAGCTGTCCGCCTGCTCAGCAGCTCATCTCGCATCTCTTTCATGAACAGACATGGTTTAGGCAGATGTGCAGGTGACGAAAGGGCGCCCAGTGCCTCCGGTCAGCCTTGCCCATTTTTCTGCAGTTGCTACGGTTGGGCTTTGCACATGCCGCTTGGACACTGGCAGCCCCTCGTGCACGTTCCACCGATCCCATTGATGACCGACCGCCTGGTTGGCAAGGCGGGAGACTAGATAGGGATCCATTTTGTATCACATGACAACACTGAGAGGACACTTCAACCCTGCTTGAAAAGCGCCGGAAGCAACTGGGTGATCGGTGCTCAGCATGACAGTGCTCGCTGTATTGCAAGACGCTTCATCCACCTGTTCTCGTTGAGGTTTGGTCCATTCATGGCCGCACATTTCACAATGCGTTCATTTGAGGGAGCCGTGTCTTGGCCCATAACCCATGTAGGATGGTTGATGAGATTCACAAGTCTTCACAAGTCTTTGTCAGCTGCAGCGACGAACAGCGAAGCTCAGCTGAACATTGCTGAAAGCTGGCGGCCCGAACTCGAGCCTGCGAAGCGCTGCGACGTGAAGCTCAGAGAGGATGTGAGATGTACATTTGATTGCATTTCTGTGTGGTCAGCAGAACAGGTCCGGAAGCATGCTGCCACCTGGCTCAGTGCCGGCACTGCCGGCTGAATGTAGATATGCATAGCATGGTGATGCTTTGGCAGCTGCTCGTCCTTGCAGCGCTTCCCCACCATGTGGATGCGATAACGTTCAAGACGGCCGCAAGGGCTCCAGTGCAGAAGGCAGGCTAGGGCCGCTAGGGCGATGACTACGGCAGTGGGAGTGGGGATGTGATGCGGTGATGCGGGCCTGTACAGTCGCTTGTGGCTGAGAGTTCTGCCGCCTGGCTGGTTGCGAATCTGTTTGTATTTCGATTGTATGGGGTGAAGGCTGGTCTTCGGTGGTTCTGTGGCTCAAAGCTGCTGATAAGTCTGCAGTAGGTTGCTGTAATTGCCGAACCGTCTGGAGGGCCGTGTCTCTTGTAAAGTTCGTCTAGTGTACACACCGCCTGTCGCTCCTACCGATTAATTAAGTGATCCGGTGAATTGTTCGGACTGACGCAGTGCTCAGCGTTTGGACGTTGCGTTGGAGAGTTTCATGAACCCTCTCACTTGGAGGAAGAAGTCGTAACAAGGTTTCCGTAGGTGAACGCGCTGGAAGGATCATTCGCATGAAATTGTGCGAAAGCGAAGGGTGCTGCAAAATGGCTAGCAGAGGACTCAGGCTAGAATCCAGGGATGCCGGTGCACCTGTGAAACATCTTGTCACTGAGTCGAGCTGCACGTCGCACGTGTTGTCGTGCAGACGACTTTTCGCATGACGGGCCCAGTGTCACTCATGTCCGGTCGTTCCTTTCCTCACTCTGACTGATTCCGTCTGGTCGAGTCTTCTATCTGCAGGTCCGGGAGCTCTTGCAGGCCATGAGACAAGAGATGGCCGAGGATGCCGAGCGTGACGAAGCCGTACATGAGAAGCAGGCCTGGGTTTGCCCCGCCGGTCTGAGGGCGATCTTTTCCACGTCTTTTGATGCTGGGGTTCTGCCAGGCAGCGTGTTCTTTGTCGGATTGTTAGGGTTGGGGCACAGAGGTGCTTAGGATATGTGTGCAGCACTGTCCAGCATGATTTATGGTGGCAGTAATTAAGGCGCACAGGTCAAGCTGAAGATCGGGGCTCTTTGCATGCTGCCGGTTCCCCCGGACATCGACCTTTGCTTGGGTCTCTTTGTGAGCGAGTGTGCTAGATTTTGCTAGATGCTATGCACGGTACGACAATGAACAGATTTGACACCCACAGCTAGAAAACATGCTCTTTGTCATCGTCCTTGTTCTTTCGAGGTGCCCTTGCTTGGCCATTGTTAAGGTGGTAGCCATAGTTTGTTTCGTAGCTTGGACTGTCAAGCTGCATCTTTGTGGCATTTGGGCAAGTTGTATAGAACCGGACCGATACACAAAGTAAGTCATACCACTTCGTTGCAGACTTGTGCTTCGCACGGTCAGCCACACTCTGTTCATGCCCCAACCCTTGTCTTCACACATCATGTATTTATGTGAGACCATATGTGCAACAGAGACCGCTCAATGGCAGCAGGATTTGGAAGGCTTAGCACATGCGTCAGAATGCCAGCATCCCATTTCTTTTGCTTCATTCACTGTAGCTTGCAAACAGCAAGACGAAACGCATTGCCAAAGTTTGGAATCTTCGGGGTGTGTACACTAGTGTGGGCACGATTCTGAATACGATTTTTGCTTCAATCAAGAGGAGGTGTTCTGAAGGTGTCCTACCACTTGTCCTTAAACGGTAACCAGTAGGACGGCAGTACTGCTTGCAATGTCAGGCCTGCTGGTGCAACTCGAACATCTATGCCAAGCAGTCTGCAGAGCACTTTCTGCATTTGGAAAAGCTCGGCCGGTAGAAATGACTGTGATGTGTGAAAGGTTTCGACCAACCAAAACCAAATTGCAGCCCTGACCAGCAGCAACAACAGGACTGGCAGTTTGGAATGCATGACAGTGCTGCACGCGAGTCTGCAGTAATCAAATGTTTGCACTGTCGGCTACCTGTAGGCTCACAGCAGACGCTTCCCGCTGGACATCGGAGTCTGAGCAGATGACGAAGGCCAGGCAACGAGCTCGAGCCGGCCCCCATCCGGCATTCACTGCGCGGATATCCGTCAGGACATAGCAGATGCCGAGGCCAAACGCTATGACAAGTAGAAATGCCTACATGCCAGCACCAGCCAGGCGGCAATGGTATCCGCAAAAGAGCTGCGCCAGGGCCAGCAGCAGGCCTTTGAAAAGCTGGGGCCCTGGTGACCATGGCCGACATTTCCCCAACCTCACACGCATTCGGATGCATCGGAAATGATTTTGCTGCAAAATTCCGGTGAAACTCCCATGTCCGCCGCATGCGTTGCTTCGACACCCTCGACTCTCAGAGAGACGAGGGGTCGAGGCAGCAGCCTTGGGCTCGCCTTGGAGCGATGCGGCGATGCGGTGCTTTGCATGGAGGGGTTGGGGCATTGCACCGCATTCAGGGATTGATGCTGGAGTCAAATGCAGGGGATGGCGCGGGGCTGTGCACCCCTTTGCAAGCGCAATAGTTGGAAAGTCTGGCACGAGAGAGAATACCGAACATGATTTCAACTTCGATGTGATGGCTATGCAGGCTTGATCTCGAACACGAGAGACAAAATCCCCCATCCACGCCTCCACAGCCACGACCCTGCTGCTCTTCCTTAGTTCAAGGATCATCATCATCGTCTTCATCCTCTTCACGTCTCTTCACCATCGTCACTTCATCGTCATTATCTTCATGGTCATCGTCGTTCTCGTCCTCGTGCTCGTCGTCCTCCTCCTCATCATCACGCGCATAGTATCACGTAGTCGTCGTAGTTGTTGTCATCACCATCATCATCCTTATCATCATGATGGTCATCATCATCACATCATGACTGGTGCTCCTGGCCAAGACGGCATCACTAAAGAACTCCTCTAGCGACAACTGCCGCAGCAGCAATTAGGTCTCATAAGATGTCAAGCACTACCCACCATGTTTTATCCGCGCAGCATGTGAGAAGACGTGACACCAACAGACACTGAACTGCGCTGCTCTTGTAATTATTGAAATAGGTGACAAAGACAGCATGAGGCCGCCTGTTTCATGCCGCAGTTTGCGATTTCCAGGCCAGGAGAACCACTAGTATCTCTGGAATAACAATGTCGCTCGACAGTTTTCATAGGGTATCGCGGGAGAGGTCGCTGTTTTCGTCAACGACATGGCCTGTGAAGCAGAAGCACAAGATGAACAGAACTGGGAGCGCTCGACTTTGAGACGACGACCATCGTGCATGTCAACAGGGATGAGAGGTCGGAACGGCTATAGGGCGGAGCATCATCCTGTTGTGACCGAGGTCGCCAATCTTTTCATGGTAGTTTGAGGGCTTTCCCGGCTTCGCTGAGGAAACGATTGGGAGTGCTGCGGGTGGACAGGGAGGCTGAAGGAAGAAGAGGGGAGGAGAGTGCTAGGCGGGGTCTGAGGGGCTTGCCGCTGGCGTTGTTGGAAAACACCTGTTGCCGGTAGGTTGTCTGCGGTCTGGTAGACTTGGGGTTTGCAAGTGAAACATCTAGGTCGGAGAGGGGAGACTGGGAACCGGGAGAAGGGGGGACCAGGGCCGTTTCGAAAGGCACTGGCACCACGGGCGCAATGAGAGAGGGGAGCTCTTGCCTTGCGCTGTGCCCCGCTAGTCGGGGTCGGCGCATACCTCATGCAAAGCCTGGATTGAGCCAGCTTACATGCTGAGAGATGCTTGTCATTTCTGCCCCAATCCCAGCGCAGAAGCGTGGAGACGATGCTTCTCTGAGGGAAGAGGCCCGCCTTGTGGGCCTTGTCAGTGAGATCGACGAGGCTTTCAAGCAGGTCGTCCAACCCCCGGCCCAGCTTTCGTCTCCCGGTGCATGGACAAATGGATTCTTGCTCAGGAATCGAACAATGAAGCGGCCAGTATCCCAGCAATCGACGGCCACAGCTGACAGATGTCAGTGATGTTTTTTTGGCGAGGCAGGAAGCTTGTTAGCAAAATACCAGAAGGCCGAGAAGGCGCGATGTGAGTTCTGGATAGCTTTCCGAAGCCGAAGAGGCTTTCCGCACCAAGATGGACACGGATGCGGGGCCTTCCCCCCACTTGAAGAACTTCCTGAACATGAACCTTTCAACTGGCAGATCTTTTTTGCAGCGCTTGGCCAAGCTTGGCCAAAGGGAGAGGAGGGAAATAAGCAAGCCGCAGCCGTGCTCAGACCGTCTGAGGCGTGAGCGTGAGCCCCTGAGGGCCGAGGCTTTGGCTTTCGGCTTTGCTGTGCTTCGGCCTGTGCCTTTGTGAGAGCCGAGTGCCATTCCTACTTTTGGCAGGGCGTTGAAACCGTCCTGAACGGCATCAAAAACGACACCACCGCTACTTTGACCGCAGCGCGCGGTCAGGATCCTGCACTTCACATTCCAATGCATCGGTGCTGCAGGCTTTGCAAGAAGAGCTTGTGAAACGCAGGGAATTTGCGCCGTTTGGGTTTTGCGTGGCTTCGGAGTTTGGAGGTAAGAAATACTGAGTAAGTCGGTTTTGACTAGAGTCAATTATTGAATGCATGGTCAGGAGACTCGACGTATCCAGTCCCATACAAAGCTGCTACAAGACAAGGCGACCCAGGTCAAGGCGAGATATCGACCGAATGCTGCATTGACTCGTCTTGCATTCAGACCTTGTCGCCTTGCCGTTGCAGGCGCTAGAGCAGCAAAAGCAAGACAGGCGCACAGCAATGGCCGACGCTGCTGAGACCAAAGCGAGCAACAAGGACGTGTCCACCTCGGCGCAGCTTTGCAGCCTGCACTGCTAAGATGGTGCCACCGGGTGTCATAAGATCATTGCCAATCTCGAAGTCCAGATTGCGGAAGATTCCGAGCAACGGCCCTAAGTGTCACGGTGAGCAGTGTTGAGGGGAACAGCATCCCCTTGAACGTGCAGGTTTCTTGCTGATGTGAAGTCAAGATGCCAGGCGATGGATCAGGAGAGCGGAGAGCTGATGGAAACTCGCAGCACACGCCACGCCATTGTGGGTAGCCGTAGTGCTTTGGTGTGCAAGGAGTGGGCGCAGCGTCAAACGACGCGAGGAGAGGAAGTGGCAGCGATCGCCAAAGCATTGGAGATACTCAAAGAAGAGGCTGTCAAAGAAGCCTTGTTACAGGACACCGCACAGTGCTCGCAGCAACTGAGGGTAGATCGTGCTGTGTTTCAGGGCGGAGTTTCGGAACACGGTTCCTTGCCGAGGTTCCGTTTCGGGCCCTGTGTGCACGAAGCTACCAATCCCAGCCTTGAAAGCCAGGTTCCGCATGCAAAGCCACAAAACCCAACCAACCTTCACGAGCGAGCCAGGTAGAGCGCTCCAGATCCCGTACAATTTCACACGCCGTCGGTGAAACAGCAACCTTCGCACGTGTGCGTTCTTGGAAAGTACAACGTTACAAGTCCAAACTTGCAAGGCGATGGGTCAATCTCCAAAACGGAATCTTGTTTTTAACCGGCAACTCATTAGCGATGGCGGGTGATCACACAGTGTGAAAGCAGCTCTTCAGACGTGTACAGCCTGGTAAGACCCTGAAGGCACCAGCTACGCCGCTAAGCATCCAGACCTTGATCTGGCAACGTGATGGTTCAAGCGTGCGGATACAGAGAGTGCGCGAGTGCGAGGGAGCATTGCTTCTTTGCACTACAGGGGACAGGGCCCTGAGAGTCCAACGCTTCGCGCTACTGTGCAGGTCGCCTCCAACGGGCACAGCGGGGAAGCTCGGGATCCCCAGCTTCAACAGCGAGCCGACGAGAGCACCTCTTCGATCATGTTATGACTTCCTTCTTGGCTCTCACCTCGTCTTAGATGGCGCCCATGTACATCAGCTCGATGCCCATGGCGTTGATTGTCCCGGCGAAGATTCCTCGATTGTGGGTTCCCCGGCCCAAGACCAGTAGTTTGGCGTTGGGCACGCCCGGCCCAGTCAAGCCACATTCGAAGCCACATTCCACAAGAAAGGATCTATACAATCGTCGCGGTGTGGTAGGGGCTTATCATGCAGGCGGGTAGCCGGTTGTTGTGCAGAACGTCAGCACAGGCGAGGAGCCGCTGCGTTGCAGACACGGAGAAGTGCCCCGGTCATGATGTTTGCCGTCGCGCCGCCATGTGTGTGGCTTGTGTAGCTTGCGCCACTTGGCCCTGATCTCCCGCATTGGCTGCCCTTCTTCCTTCTCCAGCTCCGGCTTCAGGGCCTTCTCGTCCAAAGGGCTTGCTCTTCCGCTTCGTTTGACAGTGGCAGAGTGGCCGGAAGCTCGCAAGGTCTTCGTCGTTGTCGGTGCAGACTCTAGTCGGGTGTGACAAAGGGGACGTCGAGACGCTCGCGCGCAGCCGCAGTGCTCGAGTCCCTCTGCGATTCTTCTTTTCAGTCCAGAGCCCCAAGTCGTGCAGCTCGCGCACAAGCGGCTGTGGACAGCTCTCGAGACGGACGAGATCGAGCTTGCATGTGGGGTCGATGAAGCCGATTGCTACTGGGGTTTTGTCTCAGCAAGGAGCCTCAATCAGGGATGGCGGTGCCGCTTTGGATAAGGAGTTTCGAGTGATTCTAGCTTCCAAAGTTCAGCTGGCATTGCTACTGCCGGTGGCTCCTGGTCCGGAGACGCGAGCGGCTGGAGTGCTGACGGAGGTGCGGCGCGACCTCGGAGAGGACAGGAGCTTGCTGTAGAGCGTCAGGAGTTGGCGTGTGTGCAGTTGTGGGTCTGTCCCCAGGCCTTCGAAAGCTTAGTTTCGATACCCGTGTCAATTTTGCTACATGGTGTTGGGGTCTGCTCCGCTCGGTCCTTCGCACAAGGACACCTTTTGACTCTTGTCTACAGTCACCTTTGCACCTGCCCAGGCTTGCTACACCTGCGCCGCCTTTTGGGGTGGTCTTTCCACTGCACTTGCCTGTTGCTTGCATCTTTGCCCGCGTCTCCTTGGAGTGCCGTTCACGTACCCGCAGGCGCATCATGCGCCAGCGCCTGTTGCACATCGTTTGCATGGCTTTGAATTTCCTGCATTCGAACTTTGTGCCAGGACACGCCCGGGTCTTTTCGTATCCTTTAATTTGGAAGCATCTTGCTCACAGTGCTGGTAAGCGTGAGCCCGAGGCCCTAGACAGTCTTGCACTCGCCTTCACAACCTTGCATCACTTGCATACTGTGCGCAAAGTAGTTCTAGTCTTGCGAGAGTCATACTGCAGAGTGTCGTGAACTCAAGAAAACTTGTGAACTGCAAACCCATCAGATAAAGCGTAGATGAATCGTAACGATGCTCATGATATGGCTCCGGGGGGCATGGTTCTTTTCATCGACCGATATGCGATAAAAACATCGCATTGCCAAACTTGACGTTTTGAAAACTTTTGGTCAATTTTCATGCACCACCTAAACTTTTGGATTTCAAGTGAAAAGCTAATCGGCCGCAGCAATTCATGAGCCCAAGACGCGATTTAAGGCGGTGAGACACCAGTCGGCGACAGCTGGCATTTGGACACGTGGACGCTGACTGTCGCCTCTGGCCTTACTCACCCTCCACTTTTCGGAGCCGCTTTGATGCCATCATGCACGATTACCTGGAAGGGCCGAGGTTCCCGAAAGCTGGATCTTGGTTCCCTGCGTGCCGGAGGAGCCACGTGGTTGCTCCACACGACAGAGGATTCAGAACTGGTGAGACGGAGGGGCCGTTGGCTGAACAGCAGGATCAGCAGGACGATCAGGAAATCTCTTGTTCGCAGTTCCTGCACCTCTTCAAGATGCGAACAGTGTGCCTCTTCTGGTGGAACAAGTCCCGTATTGGGGTGCCGACTATCCGTCCTGGCAAGAAGTCTTTGTCTGCTCAGCTACTCGTTGCCAATGCCCGCACTTAGGGGCTGTCATCCGCGTTGCAGCCTGCTGGACCTGTGGCGGTATAGCCTGGCCCACGGAGGCAAACGGTCCTCGCTCACAACGCCCGTGGTGCCAATTGCGCAGTCCGAGAGGTTGCGTGGCTTGCAACGTCAGCCTCCACGGGCGCGGCCAATGTCGCTGGTACATGGTAGCGCACCCAATCTACAGCAGAGATGCTGTCTCTGCACCTGACTTGTGTCCCGACTGTTGGACAACATATGCCCAGAGCCTGTCTGCGGGTCCGCGGCGCCGCCGTGTGCCCTCTCTTCCTGGTGACCTGCTCAACCACATGCGCGCTCTGACAGACAGTTGCCTTCCAGCTGCGGGCTCCGCGACTACTCTGGTCCCAGAGCTACGCCTGCGTCGCGTGCGCAAGTGGCTCCAATCTCACATTCGTGCCCATGGGCGGTGCTGCATGGCTGCCCTCCTACAGGCGCTCTTGCACCGGGTGCAGGTTGCCGATGCAAGCTACGCACGCACAGTGCTAGGCCAAGCATCCAGAGCCTTGTGTGTAGAAGGCCGCGCCTTTTATCAGGACGGAGACTTATGCCCCATTCCACGCTAAAGAGACCGTGCTATGCATTGCGATGCAGGCCATGCCTTCTTGCACTCACCACGCCCAGCAAGTACCGCCCGCAGTCCTCCACCACCGTATTTAATCAGTATCCGGATGCTTGGGTGCAATATGTCTTTCATCCCCTCTTGAACCTTTCGTGGAGGGGCCGGGATTCTTTGCAGACGCAGGTGCAAAAGAGCTGTGGAAATGTGCGAATTTGGGCACCTGACTAGGTCATGGTTTTTGATCTCATTTCTTAAGCCCCCCACTCATTTGACGATTGTTGGCAGTCGTCGTCGTGGTCGTCATCAATGAATCGCGGATGTATTGCTGGCCTCTTGTTGTTTGTTCTTTGATCCTCGTTGTGTGTTTTCACGGCTTCAAAGTTTGTGAATGATCCTTTTCCTGGCTGGCTGACACAGCAGCGCAAACTTGAAACCCCTTGCCCGAATCTGACCGACTTTGTTCCGAAGCTCGGCTCGAAACTGCCTCCCGTTGATTGAAGCACACGGCACGCGATCCCCCGAAACTATGGGCATCTAGAGCGTCCCGCGGAGGAGCCAGCAAACAAGCAAACCGCAAGTTTCTGGGGTCACTTCAACGCCGGCTCCTTCCTGCAGGCCGCAGCAAACGGGTGCCTACTTCCCTGGCAATTCTCGTGACCTGTAGGAACAGGCTGTGTCCTACGAGCGCAGGAAGCTTTCCGATGCTCTATTGAAGGCGTACACGGCCCGCAAACGCATAACAGAAGCTTCTGTTAGAAGTTCTTAGCTGCTTTGCTGCTTTGCTTGTGTAGGTTGGTCAGCGGCATGACCTTCGTCTTGTCACGCTGGCCTTCCGAGCCAAGATCGATAATTTTGCGACGGTCAAGAAGGTCAGGCGCTCGAGTCAAGACATACGCACCCTCCCCTGGCAGGTTATCCGAGCTGATATGTGCGGAGTCCAGCTCAATACCTGACTGACACAAACTGGTTCATGCGGTTCTTGCCAAAATCGATGTTCTGGCCGACCGCAGCGAGCCGTGACTGTTGCGCATGTCAATGTATGTCACCAAGTCAATCAACTTCCAGACATTTCCTGACACTTTCTGGGGAAGCAACTATGGATTTTATTCACTGCAGGTTAGCAGGTTTGGGTGCCAGATTTTGTTCCGGTGCATGTCGGAAAGCAGACGCAAACACAAAGTAGGATTGCAGCGATGACAGTGAAAGAGCAGATTGAAGATTCTTGCGACATGGCAGATGACCCTGTTCATGTAAGAGTCGGTAAGAGTTGTTCTAAACCCCGCCTCTTGACCGTAGACTTTCCGCGCACTTGAAATTTTGAGGCAGGTTTAGGACCGGCACCAAAACCAGCACGGTGGAAGCGCGCGGCGATAAAGTAGTGTAAGAGGTTTATGAAGGCTTCAAGGTGAGAGTGCGCGCAAGAACACGCAAGGGCGACGCGCAAGGCGATTGTCGAGTTACGGGCTGCAACCATAATAAAGAACAACCCCTATGTATATTTGTGGCTGGTGCGGACGTGACCTCGTCCATGTTGATGGTGCCGGATGTGGTGATGATGGTGAGCGCGAAGAAGACGATGATGCTACTCATGATGATGACAACAGCAAATAGGACGCAGGTGAGAAGGATACCCGGAAAGAGGTCATGACACGTGATGAAAGCCATGAACATGATGATGATGATGTTGATGATGATGATGCTGATCGTTGCGATGGCTGGTATATCTCGTGGCGATGATTTGGATGATGAACACAATTGCAATCATGGTGCGTATCATGGCCTCAACTTTCTAAGTACCGCCAGGCCAAAGTAGCAGTTTGTCACTTATTGGCATTAAAAGACTGTGTCAAGGCCCTGATCATTATATCATCCTGACCCCTAGTGAGCATGAACATCATCTTGATGATGATAATGGTCATCATCATCATCATTATCATCATCATCGCCATCGCCAGGAGAAACACTATTCAACTCTTGCTTGGCTCCTTATCTCTTCGGTCAAACATGGAGGACGCACAGTCGTCCCGGCCATCGGAAACATCATGAAAGTCATACGACATGGAGCCGACGATGTGGGTCACGATGGCGGCTACAGTTCATACAATCAAGGAGGCGATGCCGATGGTGATGCTGTGGGTAGGCATAGCGCTGTTGTTGATGTCGATGATGAAGGTGGCGATGATATCGTCGATTGTTTTGAAGGTGGTAACGACGATGACGACGACAACGACGACGGCCACGATGACACTGACGCGGATGTGGATGCTGTTGATGTTGATGTTGTTGATGATGATGCTGCGTACGATGATGATGCCGAGGATGGTGGCAGCCATTCTAAAGATGGCAAAAGGCGAAGCGATCATCCTGCCTCCATGCTTTGCCTACCGTGGCTGTTGGCCTCGGTGCCCAGGCCATCCAAAACATGACAATAGCGCTGGAGAAGGAGCAGCAGAACGAGGCACAGAATCAATCTAAATCAAGCCTAGGAACCCCGGCTGGCCCTTGTGCTTTTGCAACAGGTCAAGCATCGTAAATATTGTGCCGATCAGCTGGACGATAATGAGGTCGACGCAAAGGACCTGTTGCTGAAGTCCTTGCATTTGTGCTGGGCGTGTAGGCATGGAGGCATTTTATGCTGTTTTTCCTTGACAACATTGACTGGCTAGGCTTATACACAGCATGCCGCAAAGGCTCAACTTGTCGCAGCTGTGCAGCGTGTTGTTCTGGTAGCAGATTCGGGACCGCTCCACAGACAGACTGAACCAGTTGGGGCTTTAGGCTAGCTCGGAGAGCCTTGCAAAGGTTCTTGTGTGCAGCAGCGCCTGCAGCAGTAGCAGTAGCAGTGCAGTACCAGTAGCAGTACATAGCGGCAATTGAGAATCGATCGTGTTTTGAAAGATCCTGCTCAGCTTGGCAATCTTGCCCATCTTGGGGGGGGCAAGACAGTACACATCTTGCTGATGTTGAAATCTTGGTCGGCAAACGAGCAAGATTACTAGTAATCTTGCCAATCTTGAAATCTTGGTCATCTTGGTTTCGAGTATTGGCTAACCGGGGGGCGTGGCAGTCTTGTAATCTTGCGCCTTGTACCACTTGCACAACTTGCACCGCTTGAGATTTCTTCCCACCTCTCCCCGCCCCTCCCCCCTCCCGGAGGGTTTAGGGGTTTGGGGTTTTAAGGTTTAGGGTTTAGGGTTTAGCGCTCCACGCGGTTTACGCATTTAGGGTTTGAGTTTAGGGCTTGGTCGTTCGTAGTAGTCACTAGTATAAGTGTTAGTATTGGTATTACGGGGTTTAGGACCCCCGACGTGTGCGGTTTCAGGGTTTAGGGTTAGGGCAAGGTTTTTAGGGTTGAGGCTGTTGGGGTTTTTGCGGTTTAGGCTTTTCAGGTTTTTAGGGTTTGGGGTTTTACAGGGGTTAGGTTGTATGGCTTAGGGCTCAGGGTTTAGGGTTTGGGCTGTTGGGGTTTTGCTGTTTAGGGCCCGCGCCCGGCGCGTGGGGTCTACGGGTGGAGGGTGTACTGTTAGGGTTCAGGGTTAGTATAGTTAGTAGTTAGTTTGTAGTAGTTAGTAGATAGTAGTTAGTGGTCAGCAGTTAGTGGTTAGTAGTCAGTATCAGTATTAGTATTTTTGGGTTTAGGGATTCTTAGGGTTTAGGATTTCGCATTTTACTGTTTAGGGTTTAGGGTTTCGGCTGTTGGGGTAGTACAGCTTGGGTTGATAGGGTTACGCACGCGCCCGGCGTATTGGTATTAGTATTGTAGGGTTTAAGGTCTTTAGGGTTCAGGGTGGTTTTTGAGATTTTCTGGTTTCAGGCTGTTGTGGTTTTACGGTTTAGGGTTTAGGGTTACGTGTGCCCTGGCTGGGTGGGTCAGTGAGTGGTTGAGTGGCTGTGTGGGCAGTTCTGGTGGGGGGCGAAGGGGGGTCGGTGATCTTGACGTTTGTGGTGCATAGGAGGCGTGCAAGTGGCGCAAGTGGTGCAAGTGGTGCAAGTGGTGCAAGTGGTGCAAGCGGTGCAAGAGTGCAAGACCATGTAAGATTGCAAGGTTGTCGGGCACCTCCCCCTCCCGAGATTTGGGCCAAGCCAATCTGACCAAGATTGTACGTTTAAGCGCATCGGAAGAGCAGGAACCACTGCGATTTAAAAGGCAAGCTGTGTTTTGCATGAAAACTACTTCGATTGTCCACATCGTTGGCCTCCATGTCGTAGACTGCAATGTCCAAAATGACAAAAGCTTCAAAACCTTCTAGATACCGTTGTTTGGCGGTAGGCGTAGTAGTCGTCGTCGTAGTAGTCGTCTCAGTCGCAGTAGCCGCAGCGGTCAATGTACTCGTAGTAGTCGTAGTACTAGTAGACGGTGTCGTCGTCTTCGTCGTCGCCGTCGTTTGTAGTCGTCGTGAGATATGTCCGCGCCACTGAAGCAGTTGTGCCCCAGACATGTATTCCGACTTCTGGCCCAGTTTTGCAAACCAGAACTGACATGTTTCTTTTTTGTTGCAGGCGGCTTCGCATATCTTTAGAGCAAACCAGATGCACACGAACTTCCGTTGAGTCAAGAGCCGCGCAAAGTGAGGCAATCCAGCGACAGCTATCGACAGTCAACAGTCCAGTGATGCGCTGTCACAAGTACTTGGAGCCAGTTGATTTGTTCGCGCTTCTCAAAATCCTGGGCTTTGTGAGTGTCGGATGAGATGCTACGTGGAGGAGAAAAATGGTACAAAGCAGCAGCAGAGCGCTGATGAGATGCGGTTGCAGGCACGCTGCAACATGCTTTGATCGATGCGAGTACTTGGACGTCAGAGGCCGAGATCAAGGCCACCGCTAATGAGGCAGCCATTCTGTGCGACACCAAGTTCTCGATTGAGCGTGCTTGTTCCATTTTTGTGGCAAGTCTCGTAAGGCAGAGTGAGGTAGACGAGTTGCTTGCTCAAGCCCAACTGGCGAGCCAAAATCGGGAGAAGGACATTGTAGATTCGAAAGACAGTGCATACTTTCTTTCCTTGTGGGTTTGCACTAAGTGGCATTGCAGAAAGATGATCGGCTTCTCCCTGCAGGAGAATGGGGAGTTTCAATCTCTGATTCTCGAGCAGAACGAGAAGAAGAGAGCGCTCGAGCAGGCGCAACGGCGCAGTCATCATGCGTGTCGTCACATCGATTCACATCGTCTCTACAGATCTGTATGCTGAGGCACTGGCAGTTCTCAAGGATACATACTCTTCAGAGGCTGCGTGATGCTGACAACCCCACGTAACTGCAGTGGGAGAGCTGTGGAGCGGCAACAGGGCGCATCCTTGCTGCAGCTGGACCAGTCGGAATCACCTGCAGGCAGGTTCGCCATGCATCCCTGCTTTGACGGGCGGGAGGGGGGGGGGGGAGTGCTTGAATTGTTGCAAGTTTCGCTTGAAAAAGCCGACAGACTGGACAGAGTGGCATCGTTTCAAGGCGCGTAAAAGAAGAGAAAGACGGGAAAACATGTACAGTTTGTCAGATGGCATGGAATGACCCATACAATGCTATAAGGGGCCAAGGCTGTTCAGGGCCAGCAAGTTCTTTCTGAAACCTGTCCTCCATTGCCAAGTGGCCTGCACCGGCCCAGAACAACGTTTGCTACCACTTGCTACGGCCATGAGAAGTTATTTCTTAGCTGAGAAACGCTTATCGCAAAACTAGTTGGGGCAAGGTCTGCTATCGTTGTGTTACAGTGGGGATTGAACAGCTGTTACTACTGGAGCATGACTGAGTTGTTGGCACTGCCAAGATTTTTCGGCACAGTTGTGTTGCGCTGGCAGGCAGCTGGTGATGTGAGTGCTGCAAGTAAGATCGAAAGCCCGGAACACTTTGTCTCTCCAACCAAAACGAGGCACCGTCATTATCAGCTCCTTGAGTTGGAATTGGGGCTCCATTTTTTCAGGGAGGCTTGATCTTGATCTTCCTGGGTATTTACAGTTTACAGCTCGGCAGAGCACGGAAGGGCACAGACGACAGACCGGCACCCTCCGTTTGGTTCATGCTCTAACGGCAGAAGGGCCTTCACAGAGGACACTTAAAATTCTAGCTTTGGCACAGACCAAGGCTTCGGCGCCTATGAGCGTGCATCCGGAGGCGAGCATACTGCAGCACATGTTTGTAGACCATGGCCGGGCTTTTGCGTTTCGAGGCAAAGGTGTTCTGAAGACGATCCAAGAGGTGATCGCGGACACGGAGGCAGGGAATGGCAGGGAGGTCTGTGGACCGTGGCAGCTGCATTTTTGAGGCGCTGTCCACCGAAGCTGCCCAAGCAGAAGCTGCTGCTCAGCAGAACTACGAGGCGATGCTATCGCTTGGACGTACAATTTTGCTCCAATCGTGTCTGCAGGCATTTGAAGCTGAAACCGCAGATGCCGTGAAGCTCAAGCGGGAAGGTATTCAGAAGCTGAATGACAAGCACGCGAAGAAGGAAATCTGGCAGCAAACCACCACTTGCTGTAGTTGTGGATGCGTCCTGAGCGCGCGCGTGTGCGTGTGTGTTTGTCACACTTTCAAGTGGAATTTTGTGTGTCCTCAAATCGGTTGGACTCGGAAGTCGTAAGTCGCGTATATCAGAGAGGCATATTGTCCGTGCCATGTCTTCCGTCGTGCGCAGGGCGGAGCAAGGGCCGTAGGTGTTTGTGCGGTGACTGACACTAGCTGAATGCTGGAATTCCTTGGTTATCCTTGGTTCATGAAGTCTGTATTTGTCAGCTCCGGAGTCGCGTGTGCAGGAGGTGCAGTTGGCGGAGACCGCCGAAGCAAAGCGCTGTTTCAACCTGAGAGTTTGAAGATGCCTTTTCGAAGGGATCTGAACACATCAAAACTGTTCCCTTTCCAAGTGACCGTGGTGGAGATTGCGCAGCTGCTGGAAGCGAAGGAGCAGCTCCATGAAAGTGACTCGGCGCAAACCGGTATTAGGAGGAAGTGGGTGCAGCAGCGAAGATCTGCAGGCTGCGACTTTCTGCTCAGCCAATTCGAGGTAAGCCAAAAGGCCCAACTGTGCTTTCGCTAAGCTTTCGGCTTCGCGCTTCGCTTCTCTCGCTTCGCTGTCGCTTGGAGGCACGGGCTGAGGAGCTCCAGGCCCTGGAGCGAGCGCGGGACGTTTTGTCTGGCGCCCTCCGAAAGGGCTGAGGCTGCTGAGGCTGAGGATGGACGCCATCTGTGCTTCAGTGCTTCATCTCGCGGACAAACAGGGCGTGGCGTTGTTCACTTCAGATCAAACATTGTGTGTGCTCCTTTGTTTCGATTTGCTTCACGAGGTATCAAGACATACAGTGTGGAAAAAGACATACTGTAGGTATGTAGCTATGTCGCATGTGCGTATGCATGCGTGTGTGTGTGTGTGTGTCTGCAGCGGGTATCCTTCTGACTATGTTAGTAACTCGTATGGACACGTATGTATGTATGTATGTATGTATGCATGTCTGTATGTATATACAGCATACATACACATGTGTATGTATATATATATGGAGTTTTCTGTGGATATGTTGTATACGCATAGCAGACGGATGTGTGTTGAGTTTTCTGACTTTTGGAATAGGGGGCGGGCCCGAAGTCTTTGCACGAACCTTCGCCACGCCTCAACAGCAACCGTATCGCAGTTTCGGGTATTGGCCTATGTTTGTCCCACGTACAATCCATTGGACATGTCACGTCAACCACAAATCCGGAAAGCTTCCGCACCTGTATGCAGCGCCGCAGCTTATCAGTTCGCAAACTGCAAAATCATATTCGCAAATGCAACGAATTATTCTTGGAAATCTGTTAATGTTTGCAGTGATCCAGATCAGTGCAGCTAATCCCTGCTGCAAGATGGGCGCGAATCTTTTGATGCACTTCTCAAATGGTCAGATTGCAATCTTTAGGGTCCGGGGTATCCCGGCTTTTTCATTATCATCCTGAAGATGTGGCAACCCCGTTTACAAAAAGCACGTATTGTCTGTTGACGCATCTTTACAGAATGCTTTGCTGATTCTTGTTAGCCAGGCCTCCTTGCATATCCCCAACCCTTATAAGTGCGGCCCCATCAATGAACATTGGCACGGCAAGCCCCACTGGTCTACGGAAGCACATCTTGGCTAAGGAACGTTTAATTGAATCTCCAACCTCGGCTTGAAGGGTAAGAAGAATGAAAGACAGATCAAAATCCGTCGTTTCTTGGAAGATTACATGAAGGTCGTGGCAGGGACGCTTCGAGTCAGGGGAATGGTTCGAGATTAGCCATGGTGACAGCCGGTCCGTCGTTCTAGTATCAGTACCGAAGGTAGATCTTTGCCAGGTTCTAAGCGTGGATAGTTCACGATCCACAGTGCAAATTTGACATTGCCCGTTTGTTGTAATGGTTGCCGGAAAGACATGTGATGAGGCGAAATGCTCAGCAAAGTGCATGAGGTTTTTTCAACGCCACAGGAGTTCAATAGATCAGTTGTGCAGGCCTGGGGCCTGAGTGTAAGTGTGGCTCCATGCGTTTCGCTGCTACCATGACCCTGGGGTGGATCGTTCTGGCCGCTCCTGCCAAGAAGCCGCCACTGGATTGCAGAAGAGATAACTCTAGGGGTCCCGGTATGCAGTTGACGCAAACTTCGAGGGCACGGTTTGCTTGAATGTTGAGCTCTAGTGATAGTACTGCAGCTATCACTGCTACTGCTGCTACTGCTGCTGCTGCTACTGGTACTACTACTGCCACTACTGCTGCTGCTTCTGCTACTACCACTACCACGATGTAGGTTTTGAGCTCTCGCTGCTTTTCGCATGTTGGATGATTTCGCAAGCCAATGCTTTGGGATGTGGGTGTTGAGCTTTTGACGCTTTTCGCATGTTGGAAGCATTGGAAGGCCAACGTGTGGACTGGCCTACATGTCCAAGCCGTCAGGAAGGCTTCACGAAGTTCCATCTTGGTGCACAACAACTCGGCCGCGGGCTGAGGGTAAGGTGCCTAGGGTGCTGTGCATTTCTGTGCCACCAATCGAAAGGCTGTTCCCTCGCGCAGCAAATCCAGTCTGAACTCCAAGCGCTCAGGCGCCCAGGCGATGAAGGCGACGAAGTGACCAGGTCCCGAGGGCCCGACTCCCAAAGCACCGGAGCGCCTGTGCAGGCCCGACGTTACACATGCACCGTGTTTCACCCACAACGGATCCAGCGGGGGGGGGGGGGAACAGCCTCAAAGCCTCAAAGCTTTTCAAGCAGGGCTAAGGTGCACGACACTTGCGCGGCATTTCCGCAGCTTTCGCTCTACCGAACCCAAAGTAAGACACAAGGCAAAGCCCGTGTTCAAGGCTTTGAAGATTCACGAGGGATGCGGTTTCAGCAGGTTTCAGGGTCAGGGCTTAGGCTATGTAGACGCCATGAGAAGCCTCTCGGTGCTCTCACTGCTCTCCCTCACGCGGTGCTCCACGTGGGAGCTCGAGTCGCTGCAGCTCTTGCAGCAAAGGCTTGTGTCTACCAGGGTTTGTAAACTTCAGGGCTCAGGGCAGTTTAGAGTTTTGTGTTTCTTTCTCTTTGTGGTTTGAGGTTGGGCTCCGAGGTGTAGTCTGGGGCGTATTTACGAGGAGTAATTTTACGCGCCTCGACCGCGGCCTGCTCGGAGATCGCGGGTGTGAAGCTGTCGGCTTCCGGGCTTGGAGAGGCTTCGTGCAATCATACCCTTTTCAGGATCCTATTGCAACAGGCTCATGTACACAAAAGACCAGGCACCCCACATGCGGGAGTGGAAAACAAGCGAGGTTTGGGTAGAGGCGAGGGAACAGAGGGACGAGGGGGGGCATATGGGGGGTTGGGGAAGGGAGGGCGACTCAACATTTCTACATGCTGGTCGACAGGCATGCAAACGCCAACCCAGGCCCTAAATCTTACAGTAAGCCCCAAAAGCCATCCCTAAATGGTCCCTAAACCCTTAATCCCCTAATCCGACACTCCTGAATTAGCGAGAAGTACTATAACTAGTCTCTTTGGCACAGTATAGAGTATTCTTTTTATGGATAGCAGTATGTCACCATACACGTGAGTCTTGACGCAGAGTGCATTTGGGAGAGGAAGGTGTGTGGTACTGCACCCAACAAAGCCGCGGTACCAGTCTCGAACCAATCGGATTCCCAGATGCTGTTGTAGCACCACATGCTTATTCAAGCCATTGTATTCCATGTAGTCTTGCGTTCCGAGGAACATTGCCAGGCATTGCCAGAAAGCTTCGTTGCCCTTGTCTGAGTGTAAGGTAGTTATAATATGGTGTGTTTGTCAATGGTGTCTTCCACGCTGGGTTCGAGGGTTCTTGGGGCGTAATGAGCTTTAGAGTTTTTAGCGTCTTCGGGTTCGAGGCTTTGGGGTGTAGGGTTGAGCCTGACCTGCGTTCGGAAAGCATTCAAGCTACATCCATGGTGACCGCAAGAAGTCATAGAGCACCCTCTAAAACCCGGTACTTGTCAGGCTAACAATTGAGCATGCCGACGAGATCCCGACGCCGATGTGCCTTTGCAGCAGAAAGCTGCCAGTTTGCTGTTTTCGGTGTCCCAGTCTGATGCATTCGGGCTACTGTAGGTCGGGATCGAAAAGCTTCCAGCTTCAAATGCTGCGCGGTAGACAAGGCAGCGTAGAGCACCGTAGACAGCAGAATATGCAGGGAGCTGCAGCATTTCGCGTGGTGCAGCATAGCACTGTTCATCGGCCCTTCAGGGTTTCCAAAGGGAAGAGTTCGGAGATGTTCGGAGGCATCCTCAAGCCCTCAGCCTGCGAGGCTCGGGTTTCAGGCGAAGTTCTAGTAGGTTGTTCATTGATCGTAGCAGGTTTCTCTCTGCTTCGATTATGTTTCGGCACGATGGAGTGGCTCGCAGGGCATCTGGGTATGGCATTTTCGTTGCGGACTTGGCTATGTGCATGTACCCGAGTTGCGGACGACGACGGTGCTCCTGACACGACGAATTTTCGCTGTGGCGGATCAGGGGGCTACTTTTGCGTGCTCCGTGGTTCTCTTGTGTTGGGGGTTTTCTCTCGCGTAATGACGTCTCACGTGGGGCGCACTGCCTTCTTATGGTAAGTCTTGATCGAAAGGGGCCACCTCCCACTGGCTGTGGCAACCTACTGCTTTACTTACCTTCTCCATCAAAGCAGCCATTCTGTTAGCAAGTCGAGCTACACAATTCTGCCGAAGTTGATCCCTCCAAAGAAGAGGGCCGGGAAACTGCCGCACGTCACTTTCGTTCCTGCACACACTGACCATTTTATGGCTCCATGGCGATGGCTACTGTATGCCCACTCTTTTTGCTGCATGGTGCAATTTGTACACTAGTTGCCATCCGCCTCCATATTGGCTGGCGCTGATGGCTCCACCGGCGCGGAGGTTGCCCGAAGGAAACTAAAACATCCCTGATCTTGACCGCGTTCATGCTTTCGGGCCAAGGGGTTTGTATTACTTTCCAGAAGCTGATGTAGAGCTAAACCCGAAACTACTAAGATGAAAGCAGGAGTCGAAGCAAGAAGCCATTAATGTAGTACAGACCAGGAGCCTGTGTGACGAATAAATGCAATCCAAAACAAAGACAAGGACCTGGGTCCACTTCCCCAAGTGTGGCAGTTCCTTCCTCAATGTGCTGATCCACATGCCTGGCTTCTGCCACATCCCGGCAAACCTGTCTGTTGATGAGGACCGACTAAGGCTCAGAGGGCTTGGGACTTGGGACTACTGAATTTCTAGAACTGTACACATACTGTACACTGCATTAAGTGAGTGCAGCAATGGTATAGTCCGGGATAATTTCCGTTGCATACTATATTGTACACCATGGTACACTTTAGTGGATTGTAGTATACTGTAGTATATTGTAAAATACTGTCGTATACTGTACACTGTACAGCAGTTTAGTCGGGTGCCGGTTGGCATTTCGGGCATAGTGCTTCGGATCGAAGTCCTGAAGCTCTGAGCCCTAATCCGCCAGGCCAAGCCTCGTCCCCGTTTAGGGTTTCGGGTTGAAGGCGCCCAAAGCATTCATTGAACTTTCAGTCTGAAAGTCGGCCCACGACCCCAGATCGTACATGTGAACATAAGATTGGAACAGTTGAGCTTGGAGTCCGAGGATTTGTTCCCCACCGACATGATGACGAAATTTGGTGAGGTGGGCATACAGTTTGGTTTTTGT